CACAATGCTGCAACAGTGGGCTCACCCGCAACAATGCCTGTGAGAAGAGCACGGGACGGGGCAGTTTTTCCCGCTGGACACAAGGTTACATGATTTGGAACCAATGTGCAGCATCATAGTCTTTACAGAGGCTGTTTTCCTCAGGTTGTTAGCAGCGACTGAGTCCAGCCAGCTCACAAGGAACTACCAGCCCTTTGCTACCCCCGTGACTTGTGATCCACGGGGTGTTCACGGGCTGACTTCCGAAAGCAGAGTGCCAAGTCTTTGCTCTGACTCCATCTTAGTCTGGAAGTTTCAATGGAACCACTTCAGCACCACAACAACCAGCAAGCCTCCACTAACAGATGGGGGATTACACATGAGGTGCACTGGCTAGGAATTGAACCCAGGGCCTCCTGCATGGAAGGCAAGGATTCTGCCACTGAACAACACTGCTTTCGTGGTCCTTGTATATTTGAACAGTTTTAATAGGCCCCTCTCAACATTTTCCTGGATCAATTAGATGTCAGTGTCCACTTTCTAAACTCTTCCATATGTTGTTGCTGTTGTTGAGTGCCAGCAAGTCCACTAATATGCATAGTGACCCTATGAATAACAGATCTGAATCTTGCTGTATCCTGTGCCATTCACCGTCACCACCAGGCTCATTGTTGTAGTCATTACGCCAGTCTCTCTTGTTGGAGGTCTTTCTTTCTCTGACCCTCCATCTCTTTCATGAGGTCCTTTTCCAAGGAGTAGCCCCTCCTAACAACATGGTCAAAGTATGCAAGCAAGTTCCATCGTCCTTGCCTCTCGGGAGCACTCTGACTGCAATTCCACCAACACAGACTTCTTCGTTCATTCGGCAGCCCATAGGGTTTTCAGGACTCTTTTCTAACATCACAGTTCAACGGCATCAGTTTTGCTCTCATTCTTATTGACTGACCAACTTTCAAATGCATAGAGAGCAATTTCTATGCAGCAGGAACACCTGAGTCTTCAAACTGACACCATTGCTCCTTAGCACTTTAGAGAGGACAATGTAATGCATCTTTTGATTTCTTGGCTACCATGGGTGTTGATTATGGATCCAAGTAAAATGAAATAGAAATTGTTGGCAACCTTAACCTTTTCTCCCTCTGTATTGTGATGTTGCTTATTGGCCCAGTGGTGAGGATTTTTGTCTTCTTGATGTTGAGAAGCAATCCATACTGAAGGCTATTGTCTCGGATCTTCTGCAGCAAGTGTTTTAAGTCCTCTTTACTTTCAGCAAGCAAAGTTATGCCGTCTGCATAATGCAGGTTGTTGATGAGTCTTCCTCCAATCTGGATGCTACATTCTTCTTCACATAGTCCAGCTTCAAGTCCAGCTTCTTGAATGATGTGCTCCACATATAGATTGAATAAGTGCAGAGGAACTCTTTCATATAACCTCTGGGAAAGCCCAGAAACACTTCCACTGATTGACATGGGCTGCTGTATTTCTGTCACCCAGAGCTTCCTTCCCCATTGGCTCCTAGAAGGTGGCTTCCAGTCTCCACCTGGTAACTCATCTGTAATTCTGATACTCTCTCAAGCCGTTTACTTGATCAGGCCATGGGAAGGCACCCCTGCCCACTTTGATTCTCTCGTCACTATATATCACAGCTTATAAGGGTCTCATTGATGGGTGTCCAAGTTTGTGGAGGGTAGGATGGGTCATCACTCTGGGCTGAAGTTTTAGTGCCTCTGGTAATGTGTGGAGCGCTGTTACAGTTATTGTTGTAGTTTCTATGTTATTATGTTGAGTCGAAATCGACTTATAGCTGACCCTCCAGTGGGTTTTCAGGGGCAGTTAATCACTCAGGGGAGGAGATTGCCCATCTTTCTCCTTCAGGGCATCTGGTGGATTTGAACTGTGTGCCTTTGGGATTGCAGCACAGCTTCTTATCACTAGGTGCACATTATCACTAGTGGCTCATGAAATGTTTGCTCAATGACAAAGCAAACATGTATCTTTGTGAAAAAGTGAGTGGGTGTGTGTCTGTCTACATGTTTGTCTCTACGTTGGTTGTATGTGCTTGTGCGTATCTGTGTATGTATCTGAGTGTGTGCGTTAGGGTCTCTGCGTGCATATGTGGTGGTTCCTGGTGTGTGAATGTGTAGATGGCCCCATGTGTAACTGGTGTCTGTGCCTGAATGTGGACGCTTGTGTGTCTTCACGTGAGTGCTTTGGTGTGGTTGTGTGTCTGAGTACGTGTATGGTGGTGTCTGGGAATTTGTCTGTTCCTGTCTGTGTGACCATGTCTGTATATGGTTGCGTCTGGTGTTGGGGTGTGTGTGCGACTGTGAGTAGGTGTGTGTGACTGTGTCTGGCTGTGTGTAATCATGCATGTGGTTGTGTCTCTGGTGTGTCTGTGCATCTGTGTGATCGTGTCTGTATGTCTGCATGTGGTTGTGTCTGGGGAGAGTGTGTGTGTGTGTGTGTGTGTGTGTGTGTGTGTGTGTGTGTGTGTCTAAATACCTGCGGTTTTCCTTCCTTACCATCCAGCTGCCTGGAATGTCCAAGTCACCAGAAACTGGAGCCAGAATGGGATTCTCAGTCTTTGAGCTGAGCAGGCTGGCTGACCTGCTTGTTGGGCCACGCCTCCTGGGGAAAGGGAAGGGTCGGGGCTCTGGGAGGGGAGAGTTTAGTGGGAGCTCTGAGGGAACTGTTGTGATAACAGGGATATCTTATGTCCTGCCTGGTCCTGTCCCAGGGATGCTGCATGGTTACAGAATAGCCTCAGGCCATGGGCCTCTTGGAAGCCTCAGGAGAAGGGAAAGAGGCCAGGCAGAGCAGAAGGAGGGGGTGGGGACCCAGTCACTGCCTCCACCCGCTGGCCTCTGCTCTCCTCAGGCTATTTCCTGCCGAGGAGGGGGAATGGGGGCCAGCAGTCCCTCTGCTGCTAGTGTGGGCTCCACTGGCCCCAAGTGGAGAAAACAGAGGATGTGGCAGGGAAGAGGGAGCCAAGGAACTCTGCGGCATCTGTCAGTCCTAGCTCAGCCCTTCAGCCTGCACTGACCTTTGCTCTCAAAGGGTCAGAGGCTTCTCTGGCCCTCTGTCCTGAGCCTGAAGCTGGGGAGTGGGGGGGGGTGCTCTTCAGGGAGCTTAAGGGGACACTGGTGGAGATAGAGGTGTGGACCAGGTACTTCCAGCTCCATCCGACTCTGAGGCTTATTCTTTTCCAGAGAACTCCTAGACCCAAGAAACCCTGAGCCTTCCTCTATGGCCTACACAGAGAAACCAAAGAGATAGACAATGAGATGCCAGGACCCCCAGGGTGACGGAGAGAGGGACGGGTAGACTCAGAAAGATAGGGCAGGGCAGCAGGAGGAGGCTGGCCAGAGGGCAGCCACAGACCTAATAGAAACCAGTTAGAGAAACAGAGGCGAGGCTGGGCCCAAAGCCAGTCACTCTTTGGGAGGGGCTTGTTTTTCCAGAAAAAAAGGCACAGGGAGGGGCAGAGGGATGGCCCAACCCTCATTTTGAAAAAGGGGTTCCTCCCCTAGACCAGTCTCCTAGGAGAAATGGGTCTGTTTGTTAGGTTCTGGGAGGGAAGGGGGTTTCTCTGTTCCTGCCAGTCCTCCCTGTTGTTACTCCTCATTCTTGCTTGCTGCAGCTAATGCTGTCTCCTTCCCTTTGCCAAAATCAAGAGTTGGACTGCAGACTTAGGGAGCAGGAGTGACCCTAGTCCAGCAGACAGTGGGGCCTGGGCTGTCAATTCAATCTAAACAGGCAGTCTGAAAGATGCACTAAGGATTTCTTGTGGTTATTCAGGATTTTGGTTTTTTTTTTTTCTTGAGGTTTGCTTAAGTAGAAGGAGTGGGTTTGGTACACAGTATGAGCTCTGTTATTTCACATTTGTTTATGGTACTTTGTAAGTTTTCCCAGAGCTTCAAATTTGTGCCTTCTGTGGGTGGGGATGGAGGGGGGAACTCCCATTCTCTCTCTCCCTCTTCTCTGGGTGGGGGTGGGGGCTCCCATGCCCTGTATTCTTCCTATTTCTCAGGGAAAGGGACTTCCATACCCCCTCCTTCCCTGGAATGACAGTTCCCACACCCCCTTTTTCTTTCTTCCTTCCTCTGGTGGAAGGGTTCCCATTCTCTGGGCTGGGGCTCACAACTCTGGAATTGGGGCTCCCATCCCCCTCTCCCTCCCTCCTTTTCTAAGCTGGAGGCCCCCATTCTCTCTCTCTGTGCCCTACTCTGGTGGGGTGGGGACCCTCAGGAGTCCTATAACTCAGGGTCTGGTTTCAGGAAGGCCAGGCTGGGCCCTGGATGGGAAGAGGCCCAGCCTGGGAGGGAGGGGCTGCTCCAGGGCCTTTGCTCTGGGGCGCCCAGGCAGCGGCTGAGCCCTTCTCCGTACATTCCGTCCCCACCCCAGTCTTAGGGGGCAGGTGCTACTTCGTCTGCACTTCCAGCCACAGAAGTCCAGAAGAGAAGACATGCCACAGCTAATGAGAAGGGTGGGAAGAGCTGGTAGGGGTTCAAAGGCAGCAGACTTCCTGGGGGTCCCTGCTTGAGCCATTTTCAGCTGCCTGACCTAGAGTTGGCAGAAGAGGGCTCCAGGAGGACCTCGCCCAACTGCACCAGGCTGCTGACCCAGGAATGTCCTGGTCCCACTCCAGGCTTGAGGTCTGAGGCTGAGGCTCCACCCCAGAGGTGGACAGAGGAGCCTCAACCCCGAGCCCAACGCTGAAGCAACTCAGGATGGGTTCCACACGTCCCTCCTTCCCCTCAAGGGCTGAGTTTATTCCTTCCCCTCTTCAAGACCTCAGGCGGAGAGGGGGCCGGGCTCTTTCCAGACACTCCCCCTGCATGCCAGTTGAGGATGGGGGAGGCTGTGGGACCAGGGCGGAGAAGGAGGGGTGGTCTGGCTGTCCTGGCCCAGGGCTCCGTGATGTCATAGCGGGTGTTGAAGAAGGGGGAGGGGGCTGGGCTGTTTTTCTGGAGAGTTAGAGCCGGAAGAGACAAAGCAAGGCCAGCGGGCCAGGCGGCGCCATGGAACCGCTGTCCCGAGTCCTGCTTTGGAAACTTATACTTCTGCAGGGTGAGTGTGCAGTGGGCAAGGGTCTGGGTATGTGTGTGAGAGAGAGGGCTCAGGCAACCTGCTGCTCCAGGGCGAGTGGACTCAAGGAGTTCATCTTTCAGGAGTTTCAAGCAAATTTGCCCGTAGGCGATGGAGCCAGGAGGGGGCGGGACACCTCCTTCCCCAGGAAGGGACCAGGTCTAGGGGGCAAGGGGAAGCTCTATCAAAAGAGCCCCAATGGAGGTCGAGGGCCTGGCGGGAGGGGTCCTGGGTTAGACTCCCAGAACTTCCCTTCCAGGGCTGAGGAGCCCAGAGGACCTAGGAGGAGGAGGAGGAGATGGAGGTGGCTTCCAGCCCGTGGTACACACAGCATCCTATGCATTAGAGGCCTCTTTATACTTCTCTCAGCAGAAGTAGTTGGAAGCCAGGAGAATGACAGTGGGTTTGAGGGACTGAAGGGGTCTAGACGGGCTTTGAGGCTTGAAGTCGGCTGGTGTTGAGGGGGGGAGCCCTGGTCTCCCAGGCCCCCTGAGCCCGCCTCCAGTGGCCGCTGACCCGGCACATTCCTCTCGTCCGGGCACTCAGCCACCATCTCTGGAGCACAGCTCAGCCTGGGAGGGCGGGGGCAGGGTCAGTCCCCACCTCTTTGGCCCTGAGTCCCCTCCCCAAGGATAGTCTTGTGTTTGAGGGGCTCCCGGCAGGTGCATGCTTCCCACAGGAGGGTATGCAGGAGCCTGCGAAGAAGCCCCCACAATCGGCCCTGAATCTTGCTCTACTGTCAGGCTTGTGTGGTTTTTAGTGGCCTGGGGTGGCCATGATAGTGACCACTGACTCTGAGAAGTAGCCCCTGAGCCAGCTTGCACAGTGCCTAGCCCTGGCTGTACTGCCCACCTGCTGGCGACCCCAGTTTCCATATTCTTAAAAAGGTAGTCACTGTACCCACAGCCTCGGACAGGAGCTTTGATAGGTATCCTCACCTTGTATCCCCCTGTGTCACAGCACCCCCTCGTGGAGGTGAGGCTCCACCAGATGACAGAGCCTGAAGGGTCCCCTTCAGAGTCTGACTCTTTTTCCCCCTCTCTTTTCCAGGCAATGCTGTCCTGGCCTCCTCAGGTTAGTGACCACCAAAACTCCTGCCCTCCTCTCTTCTGCTAGCCCTCTTCCTATCTTCATGTCCCTTCTCTCCCCTTCTGACTTGTCCCGCCAGGACCTTCAGGGCTGGCGACGGCCGGCAGCTCCCTGGTGTCCGAGGTGACGGTGAACTGGGAAGCCGGCACCGGGGCCGTGCTGCGCTGCCAGAGTCCGCGCATGGTGTGGACCCAGGACCGGCTGCACGACCGCCAGCGCGTGGTCCACTGGGACCTCAGCGGCGGCGGCCACGGCCCTGCGCGCCGGCTGGTGGACATGTACTCGGCGGGCGAGCAGCGCGTGTACGAGCCGCGCGACCGTGGCCGGCTCCTGCTGTCGCCCTCTGCCTTCTACGACGGCAACTTCTCGCTGCTCATCCGCGGTACGCTGGGGGCCACGTGGCGCAAGGGGCGCACGGGCAGGGGCGCACGAGCGGGGGGGGCGCACGAGCAGGGGGCATGGGGTGCGGGGCCGCGGAGTTCATAGCAGCTGAGTTTATGTCCTCTGGGTCTGCAGCTGCGGAGGAGACCGACGAGGGACTGTACACCTGTAACCTGCACCACCATTACTGCCACCTCTACGAGAGCCTGGCCATCCTCTTGAAAGTCACTGACGACCGTGAGCTCCTGTCCCGGCCTCCTGAGCCCCATCCCGCCCCCACCTACCCTTCCCCAGGTCTTCCGGTTGTCACTCACCACCCTCATCCCCCCTCTCATGTTCATCCTGGCATCTTGCTACACCCCTTCTCCATCAGAGTCCCCAGCACAGAACTCAGCAGCACCTTTGGCTGGTCCCCACCTATCCCAGCGGTCAATGGACCCCTCCCCCGCCCCTTCCCAGGGCCCGGGTCCGCCCCGCCCCAAGCTCTGCTCTGACCGCCCCGCCCCCTCAGCCCTGGAGGCCGGCGCGCTCTGGGACGGCGAGAAGGAGGTGCTGACCGTGGAGCTCGGGGCGCCGGCGCTGCTGACCTGCGTGAACCGCGCCCACGTATGGACGGATCGGCACCTGGAGGAGGCGCAGCAGGTGGTACACTGGGACCGACAGCCGCCCGGGGTGCCGCACGACCGCGCCGACCGCCTGCTCGACCTCTACGCCTCCGGGGAGCGCCGCGCATACGGGCCGCCCTTCCTGCACGAGCGCGTGACCGTGGGGACCGATGCCTTTGCGCGCGGCGACTTCTCACTGCGAATCGACCCGCTGGAGCCGGCCGACGAGGGCACGTACTCCTGCCACCTGCACCACCACTACTGCGGCCTGCACGAGCGCCGCATTTTCCACCTGAAGGTCACCGAGCCAGTGGTGGAGCCGCGCGCCCGGGACTCTCCGGGGAACGGGTCCAGCCACAGCAGTGCGCCCAACCCAGGTGAAGAGTGGCCCTGGGGCCCTGGAGAATGCCTCAGAATGGGGCATGGAGAAATAGTTTCCCCACGGCTTGACTGGGCTTGCCTGGCCTTTGCTTCCCTGTTGGGTTCGGCTCTCATATTCAGGGACCTAGGGGTTTGCGGGGTGGGGGGGTGGGGGGGAAGGGGGAAGGCCCCACTGAGTGTGCACTGAACCTGCCCTGAGACCCAGCAGGGGCTCCCATCAGGGCAGGCAGGGGTACCTGCCTGACTCAGCCTGCATCACCCCTGCAGACCCCTCGCTGACACACGGCCACAGCATCATCAACGTCATTGTCCCTGAGAGCCGGGCCCACTTCTTCCAGCAGCTTGGCTATGTGCTGGCCACCTTGCTGCTATTCATCCTGCTACTCATCACGGTCGTCCTGGCAACCCGTAAGCACCGTGTCCACCGCGGAGGTGAGGGCTGGGCCCTCCAGCGTCTGCTCACCTCTCAGTTCAGGGCGCAGGACGCAGGCCTGGCGGAGGGCAGAGTGTAGCGTTAGGAAGGACCCACCAACAGAGATGGGACTGGGGTGCTTACCTGTGCGCTGGGCAGGAGGCAGGAAGCAGGGACCAGCTAGAAGCTGAGCCTCCTCTAATATATGTCTTTCTTTCTCTCAGGATATGCTCATTCAGACAGAAAGTTGGGGAAGTCGAAGGGGTGAGTATTTCCCTCCCTACTAGCCCTTCTGGAGACCCAGTCCCTGTCCTCGCCCCTGCTCTAACTTTCTTTATGCCCCTTCCTCCAGGAAGGATGTGAACATGGCAGAGTTGGCTGTGGTCTCAGGGGACCAGGCTCCTTACAGGGGTGAAGACATCCAACTAGGTGAGGTGGGCCCCAGTCTTGGGCTGGGGAAGAGCCGTGTCTGGAGGGGCCACTCACTGTGATCTCCTGGTGACAGATTACAAAAACAACATCCTGAAGGAAAGGGCTGAACTGGCTCACAGTCCCCTGCCTGCCAAAAACATTGACCTGGACAAAGGTGAGAGTCGCTGGTGAGGGCTCCTTCCTGCCCCATCTCCTCTCAGAGCACTACCCCACCCTGCACCCAGTTCCATGTTCCCTGGGAAGTCCTCTTGCATGTCTGCCCTGAGTATCCCACAAGGAGGGTGGAGTGGAGCACAGATTAAGCCTTGTCCCTTGATTTCCAGAGTTCAGGAAGGAGTACTGCAAATGAAACCATCTGAGCTCCTGGCTGGGCCAGCAGCTCTGCCACCTCCTGTCCTTCCACATTTGAGGACATCTTGTTGACCTCTGTGCGCTTGGTTCCACCAGCGCCCATTCAGCGGCTGGTCCCGCTTTCTTGGAACTCGGCCTAGACTGGTGCAAAGCAGGCTGCCTCCATACCCCTCTCCTGGAAGCCACCCAGTCTCTCAAGCAAGAGTGGGTTCCATGGACTCCTGCCTGGCGCTGTCTCTTCAGCCAGCCCTCGAAGCCTCTGAGGCTCACTGAGAAGTCCGTCCCTCTCCTCCATGCCCCCCCCCTTTAAATTAGCCAAGACTCCTCCAGTGGTTGTCAAGCCTTCAGTACCCCAGCCTCTGCCTGCGAGGGGCCATTCTTGGAGGGGGCTTAGTGGAGATGTTTTCCAGAGGTGACATCCCTGTGACTCTTCTAAGAGGCATGCTGGCAACTCAAAAATCCCTTGGGATCCTCTAGACACCTCCCCTCAGGGGCTATCACCAAGCCCCATTGGGCTGTAACTCATTCCACCTGAGGATTCACCCTCCAGCCTGAAGGTCATTGCCCCTCTGTACTGCTTGGGGTGCCCCATTGCTCTTGCCTCTGCTTTTGACCCCTGGTTTCAGCCTTGTTTCCAACCAACTGCCTTGACACTCACCGGGCTCCATGTGACCTTTAACGGTGACCACCCTCCTGCAGGCCCTCCCTGGGCTCGAGGTGGTGGCCTCTTTTGGCTTCTGCTATTGGCTGAGGACAGGAGAGGAAGGAGGATGATTCTAGGGTGGCCTCTGCTGCTGCTCAGACTCTCCACCTTTGTTCCTCCTGCGGGATCACCGCTGTCACAATAAAGGCCACATCAGATTTTTACAGCCTGGCTCTAGTGTGACTCTGCAGCTCCTCCTTCTCTAGAGGGTCCAGTCGACTTCAGGGATCTCAGGTGTCTTCATCTGAACTTGCACTATCACTCTGTTCCTTAGAGTGGAAGGTCCAGTCTGGGTCTCCTCGAACACGTACCCTGAGAAAGGCCAGTGGAGCCAGTTTTATGTTACTTGCCCCCCGGTTTCAAAGCCATTTCAGAACCTCCTCTGAGGGATTATTTGGACACTGGGGAGGGATCTGTGTGGCTATGAGAACTGAGAAAGGAGGCTCTGTTAATGCAAGTCCTCTGAGGAGCAGCCAACAAGATTAGATGTGCAAGGATAAAGGGGGAGAAAACAGATGTTAACAAGAAGGCCTTCAGACCAGAACACTGGCTTAACACCTCTGAAAGGAGAGGGGCAGGAGGAGCCTAGATAATAGCTCTGAAAAAGTATCACCTGACAAAAAAGGGGCTCTACAAGAGACCACTAGACTGGGCTAACTTCAGTTAGCCTTGCCCGTCCATTCGCTTGGAGCAGGCTGGATGGCATGAATGTGGGGTAGAGTTGGAGCAACAGCTGGGTGGGAGGAGAACTGAGTGGCACATTTTCTTGGCCGCCACAGACCAGTGGCTAAATGCTAGTTATTGAAGCCTGTGTCTTCTCATCCCTGGCCTACCTTCCAAGGCTCTCCCAGGACAACAGGGAACAGGAAAGGATGAGGGACATCCACAGGATTCCACAGTGGCAAAGGATGGGGAAGAGGCCAGGCTGGGGGTGTGATCTCCCTCCCAGCCCAGTGACTCTGGGCCCTTCAGTGGTTGCCCTGTCACTAGACAATGTCTCCCATAACAACTCATACCCTGACCACAAACTTGCCCTGGGCAGAGCCCCAGTTGGATTATGTTAGTGCCAGTGCTGGGATTAACCACCAACCTCCAACTCACTGTGGTTTGGAACAAGTGGCAACTGGGAGAGGGAGACCCTGGAGGCTGAAAGAAAGCCTGGGGCCTAAAATGACCACATCTATGCGCATGTCACCAGCCCTCTGACCAGAGCTCCCCAGATGAGCTTTCAGAGTTTGCCTTCTTTGTTCTTGTGCACCCAGCAAAGAGCCAGGCACCTCCTTCTTCTAAATCATTCTGCTTGGAGTCCTCAGTTTACCACAGAATGAGAGAGGTCGGACTCTGGATCCAGCATCAGTGGCGTTGAGCTGGCAGAATGGATTGCTCACTCTTCTCATCGGAGGAGAGGAACGGGTGTCATGACCTTCAGCTAGTCTCATCTGGGGGTTAGACATCAGCCTGGGCTAGGGCATTGGCAATCACCCTTTGGTCACTGCTCAGAGCCTGGAATAAAAATGACCAGACAGGTAGGACATCTTACGGTTCAGAAGGGACAAGGATTGTCTGATGTATACTGTCACTGGGACATCATAGACTCCACTTTCACTTGGGCAGCGTGCTAGGGCTTCATTCCTCCCCTCTCCCACCAGCATGGGACTCCCTCTAGCGGCCTTAAGTCTCCTAAGGCGAGGCCTGAGGTCAGTTGGAATTGCCCAGGCAAGGAGGAGATCCTTACTCTCGGCTGTAAGAACCTTCTAGGACACAGGAGCTCATAACTGCCCACGATAAGCCCCAGCTGTCGTTTTGGGTCACCATATACAGGCTAGCACATTCATACTCATGTCCATTTAGAGCTGGTGTTTCTCTGAGAGCTGGAGGGATCCCACAAGAGGGTGCACACGCTCATAACTGACGCGGGGATGCAGAATGGTCAAGCACCGCCGGCTCCTGGATTGGACACAAAGTATTTTTGAGGGGGCAGGCACCTGTGTCAGTTTAAGGCTGGTGTCTCTCAGAACCCTCATGGGGTCTCACAGAGGATGCACGAACTCAGAATTGGCGCGGAGGCGCAGAATGACTAGGCACCCCCAGCTTTCAGATTGTACCCAAAGAATACTCAGCTTCTCAGGGGTGACTCTCCCGCGGCTCATCGATGTGGCCAGGGCGCCTCTGAACGCCAAGCACCTGCAGACTCAGATGAGAAGACTGAGAATCCGTGAGGGAGATTCCTCACAGAGCGGGGCAGGGCTTAGAATGGTCCCAGGGGCTGGTCTCTTTCTGACAGCTAGGGGCGTGACATGCAGATGAGGCAGAGGCGGGGCCTGCTGAGGATCCGCCCATCCGACCTGAGTAGGGAAACAAGGGTTTGGCCTAGGGAAGAGGAATCGGACCGGGTCCTGAATGCAGGGTGCTCGGGACCTGGGGAGAGTGGAGGAAAGGGCTCCGCCAGGCCGGACGCGCGCGCTCACAGGCTCGCGATGACTAGCACGCACGCACGCGTGCGCAGCCTGCACCCCACCCCTCAGGTGACGTAAGGCCCCGCCTCCGCTCCCGGGCGCCCCCAGGTGGCCGTGAGCTTGGGCCTCCGGCCGGTCGGTCCCTTTAACTGCGCGGCCCGAGGGGGCGGCGGCGGCGCGGGG